CTGGGCCCGGTTTTTCAAAAGTAATCCACTAGGATTTTGGATAACGGATTGGATCAAATCTTGAAAATGTGTTTTTCAAAAGAAAAATCGGATTACATAATCGGATTAGATCACGTAATCCAATCTTGGTTTTGATCCGGATCAAACCTTTAGTTTGGGTTTTTTTTAGAACTTTTTTGTAGGATTTGGATCACTTTGATCCAAAAAATCTGGATTAAACTGATCCCATCAGAAGGGTGGATTCAGCGTGGATTTCATGGCCAAAATGTAATGAAAACTTTAAAAATGTATCAAATAATACTATATTTGGATCATGCAGTATCTTACAAGATATCCTATTTATTCATAAGGTTTTAATTTTATTTGTTCATCCGTCAGGCTACAGTGATTAGGTAGGCTTTAACGTATTCAGCCTTTCAGTATAGGCCTACAGCAAAGTAGAAAGAGTTTGGCCTCATAAAATAATCCCCCAAACAGCTGTCAAAATTGACCAAAAACAATTAATTTTATTCTGTCACTAATTGATATATATATTCATCACAATCGAAAATATTTTTGTTTTTAGAATATTTATTAGTGATGCATGCAATGATTACAGAATAACCAAAAAAATGCAAAGAATGGCAATCACTGATTTTTGAAATCCAAAACAAATCCAAATCAGAAATAGTGTCTAACTATTGCGTCCCTTGTTGCACGTCCTCTGTTTGCTCGTTCTGGCAGAATGCAGGAGGTTGGTTAGGGTCTCCAAGGGGCTCAGGTGCATCATTGTCAGCACAGAGAGGGACATTGCGCTTAGTAGCGATGTTGTGCAGGACAATACAGGCAAGGGTTATGTTGCATGCTTTCTGTGGTTCCGCTCTCAGGTAGTTAAGGCATGCAAAGCGCCTCTTAAGAACTCCATTTAAACGCTCAATTGCACATCTTGCTCTGCAATGAGCAGTGTTGAAGCGTGCCTGCGCCGGTGTATTTGCTGTTAGAAAAGGAGTCATCAGCCATGGTAGGAGTGGGTAGGCACTGTCTCCTAATATTACGCCATCCGGTCGGTTGGTTTGGAGGTCTCTATATAGAGCGCTCTCCCTCAGGATGCGTGCATCATGGACAGACCCAGGCCACTTGACAACGCAGTTGGTGATGATGAGGTCAGCATCACACACAAGTTGGACATTGATGCTGTGCCTCCCCTTTCTGTTTATAAACTCCCATTCATTCTCACGAGGTGCTTGTATATGCACATGTGTGCAGTCGATTGCTCCAATAGTATTGGGCATATTCCCCAAAAGAAAAAAGCTGCGCTTGGCCTGGGCAATCTGGTTGTCCTTTGGAAAAGAAACAAATTCATTGACCAGGCTGGCCAGTGCGATTGACACATCTTTCACCACATCACACACAGCTGATTTCACCACTCCCATATAGTCACCAACAACTTGATAGAAAGTCCCACATGCATAAAATCGGAGAGCAATGAGGATCTGGTCTTCCACAGACAGACCGTGACTCCTTTGGGTTCTGTGTTGAAGTTTTGGCCTGAGAAGGTTCACAAGGTACTCTATATCAGCCTTCCCAAAGCGAAACCGGACATACAGCTCCTCAGTGGTGTATTGCTCCAGTGGCTTGGTACGTTCAACATACACCCTTTGACGGTATCCTCTCCTGGCAAAGTGGTGGTGGCGGTGGACAACACCTGCCATTTCACTGTCTCTCTGTGAATCCTCTGAGAAAGGCTGATTTATATGGCAGTGTAGTTGGTCTTTTCAAACACACCTATTACAACTGATTAGTTTTGGCTTGCGTTCAATTGAGGCAATTGGACCCAAGGCCTATAATTGATGAACAATGTTCACTATAGTAAAGCAACGGAACCATGGACTCAAGAAGCTGTAACTTCACTGCTGCTGAAACCAATGCACTACTAGAGGGTGTTCGGTGCCATTATGGAACAATAGTGGGAAGTTTTAATTCTGCTAAGGATACCAACAAAAAGAAAAATGATGTTTGGATTTTAATCACAGAAAATGTGAATGCCATAGGGTCTGGCCAGAGGAGGACCACAGACCAAATCAAATTGCGGTGGAAGAATCTTAAGGCCAGGGCAACAAAGGACCATGCTGAAGCCAAAAACCCACAAACAGGCAACAAGCCATTTAAGAGGGGAGATTACACAGATGTGGTCCTCGACATCATTGGAGGTGAGAAGTCGCAAGCTCTCCATGGTATTCAAGGTGTTGTAGGGGATGGCGAGCCTTGGATTGAGGAGGAGGAGGAGAATCTGCCAGTTCCTCCTGAGGCTGATCCAGAGAGCGTATTTATATTGAATCTCAGCTCTGTTCCTGAGGAAGAAGCTGGATCCTCATTGGTTGAGCCAGTGGTAGTTGCCACAGGATCTCAGAGGAAAGGCTTGAAGCGCCCTTCATCAAACAAAGATGATGATTACAAGGCACTTCTGCAAAAAGAGACTGAAAGGGCAGAAGCACAGCTTCGTCTGGCAGAGGAACAACTGACTCTGACCAAACTGCAGCAAACCAAGGCCAGACTTGAGATCCGCCTCCTAAAGGCTACGCTCAGACAAGCTGGTCTCTCCACATCAGATGAGGAAGTATGAAATTATTGTGGAGTATTTGACATTAAGTCTTTTTTTTTTAATTCAATACATCTATACTTGATACTTGTTATAAATATCCTCAATGTACAGTGTTTGTGTTGTAGGTCTCAGATGAGTGGACTGCTGGAAGAGGATGGGGTGGGGTTTTTCTTGTTTTTAGTTTTTTTTAAATGTGTGGGTTTTCATTTCAAATAAAAATAAACTTATATTGACCCCACACTGGCTATTCTACTTGTTGCTCTTTACATATCTATAGTTCTACATTGTGATTTCCTATCCTGTTTGAGCACTGGTTATCCAGCACTGGTTATCCAGATTTGGTGATCCTGAAAAGTTCCTATCCGGATCAGATTGATCCAATCCGATGTTGCTTTAAAAAACTGGCTCCAAAAGTAAGCTGGATTACGTGATCACGGATCGCAAAAAAAGGATTACTAAATCCGGATCAATTTTATCCGGATTAAACCTTTTGAAAAACCGGGCCCTGGTGTTTATTTTGTTATTCTCTTTAAAGGTGCAGTATTGCAATATTTCAGTGAAAGTCTGTGCACAAAAAATTATGCATTGTCTAATGTCAATAATGTAGCCAACATGAACATGAGCAAAATCAGCATGGGGAACTTTTCACTCTCATGTGAAAAAGTCAATTGCATGGATTCCTATTGAAATGACTGGATTTCACCCATGAAATTTCTCAGAGCAACGGTAAAAGTGACCACACCTTAATACAGTAATTTTTTTAATAGTATAGGCTGTATATTTATATATTTTTATATATTAAAAATTTTAACTATATATTTAGTTTACGTATATATTTTATTTTATATATTATTTATAATGTCTATTTGACTGATTTATGCCTATTTATAATTTTTTTATTAAATGAATTATTTTATTTTATTAGTTTGAACTATTTTATTATTAAAAACTTTACTTAAAAATAATTAATACATACAATAAAACATACACAAAACAGTAACAAAACATTATTGTAATGTATTAAAATAAAATAGACTGACAGACGGACGGACGGACAGATAGATAGATAGATAGATAGATAGATAGATAGCTGTTCAAATTGTATTCAGAGGTCACACTCACTTTTGTCCTTCAGCCAGCTGCTGCATCTTGTAAGCCTCTGCTTCAGCAGGACGCTTGACCGTCGCAATCAGCTCCTTCTCTGTCCTGTCAATCTCTTTCTCCTCGATGGAGATCTGCTTTTTCCTCTGCACAACCTCGATTTCAATCTCCTCCAATCTGATCTTCTGCTGCTCTTTAGCTGCCTGTAGTTCATAGGCCAGCTGAGACTCAGCTTTCTATGTACAAGAGAGACACATATCACATGATTACTACCACTCTCATCTGAGACTGATAAATATCAATGTATAAGCTCACATCCCACCAGCTAACAAGATGACTGTGATTTAAGATGATGGCCCTGGATTGAAATGAAATTGAATCCAACCTTAGTGTTCACTTCTTGATTGAAAGCAGCTTTCTGCAGCTCCAGCTCTCGTTTGGAGTCGGCCATTTTTGTGTCGGCCAAGAACTTCACATCCATCATTTCTTTCTTGCACTCAGCTTCCTGATCAGGAGGTGGGAGAAAACGGGAGCTAATGAATGCCACACATCTAATGGATAATGCATTAGCAATAAAGACTCATACTCTAATCCCAGCATCCCTCTCTGCCTCGGCTACTCCGATGTCGGCATCCCTTTGTACAGCCGCTGTCTGAGTTTTTCCAAGAGAGCTCAGGTAGTCCAGCTTATCATAGACATCCTGTAAATAAAAGACAAGTGTCAATATTTTATTTATTTTTTATTATTTTAATTATAATAATTGATTATGACTTAAAATTATATGAAATATTTCATAAAATTATGTGAAATAGTTTTCATTAACTAAAGCTGAAGTAAAATAAAGTATTAAATATGACAATTTTAAAAACTTGTAAATTAGTAAATGAAAATTAGAAATGCTGCTTGGCAACAAAGTGAAATCAAGTAAGTATAAAGTATTAAAATGACTAAAACTCAAAACACACACAAAAAAATGACCAGCACATAACAGTTACTTTTACTAACAAATTAACTTTTACAATTACTAAATTTAATTTACTTACTAAAATTCATTTAGTACGTAGATTAATTAAATTTAAATGAACTGAACAAATTAAGATAAATTCAATTAAGATTCAAATTAAAATGAACTGAAAATATAAAAATAAAAGCTAATTCAAAATATTAATAAATACTATAATAGTACTTTAGTATTATTATATAAGAAATCAATCTGGTTCCCTTGATTTAATATTTATTCTACACGTATACTGGTTCAAGGTGTCACTGAGGTCTAGAATGGAGGCAGGACTCACCTTGTCCATGAGTATGATTTTGCATTAAGAAACACACATATCTTACTTTTATAGTGAAGCTGAGGATTTCAATGCCCATCCGGCCCACATCAGGAGCTGCCACCTCCCTCACCAGCCGAGCAAACTCATCTCTGTCCTGGTAGATCTGCTCCACTGTCAAAGTGCCTGTCGTAAGAACAGCAACAGAACATCAGCTTCATAGAATCACACCCGTCAGCATTGTTTTTTAATGAGGTTACTGTAATTGTTAGTTATCTATTAACCTAAGATAGAACGCAAATGTCCCTCTAGGGTTTGCAGGACCACAGCCTTGATTTCCATGACAGACTTTCCCAGAAACTGCTCACAGGCAACAGCCAGCAAGTCTTTGTCAGTCATGACCTTGACCTGATGAAAACACAAGGCAAGAGTGTATATGTGACCCTGGACCACAAAACCAGTCTTAAGTGTCAATTTTTTATAAAATTGAGATTTATACATCATCTGAAAGCTGTACAAAAGCTGTACAATATTTGGCCGAGATACAACTATTTGAAAATCTGGAATCTGAGGGTGCAAAAAAATCTAAATATTGAGAAAATCGCCTTTAAAGTTGTCCAAATGAAGTCCTTAGCAATGCATATTACTAATCAAAAATGAAGTTTTGATATATTTACGGTAGGAAATTTACAAAATATCTTCATGGAACATGATCTTTACTTAATATCCTAATGATTTTTAGCATTAAAAATAAATCGATAATTTTGACCCATACAATGTATTTTTTGGCTATTGCTACAAATATACCCCAGCGACTTAAGACTGGTTTTGTGCTCCAGGGTCACATATAGACATTTATTTTTTAAACAATATAAACTAATGAAAATTACAAAAACCACACAACAAAATTACTAAAACTAAAAAGTAAAAAACGAATTCAAGATATTAATAAAAACTATAATAGTATCTCAATGATACTAAAATAACATTACTTCAGTGTCACATGATCCTTCAGAAATCATTCTAATACACTGATTTGCTGCTCAAGAAACATTTCTTATTACTATCAATGATGAAAACAATTGTGCTGATTAATATATTTGTGCTAATGTGATACATTTTTTTTCAGGATTTTTTTGATGAATAGAAAGTTAAAAAAAAACTGCATGTATTTAAAATACAAATCTTCTGTAATATTATTATTGTATTTACTGTCACTTTTGATCAATTCAATGCATCCTTACTCAATAAAAGTATTAATTTCTTTCCAAAAAATAAAAAATAAATAAAAATCTTACTGACACCAAACTTTTGATCGATAGTGTATACTATAACTTTCAAGACCCAAAAATGTACTGATACTAAGCTTCAATAATGACTGCAATAATGAAGTAAATGATGGAAATCTAAGAATAAATTGAATAAAACAACAGTAAATGATCTGTGAGTGGTCCATGAGAGAGTGTTTACTTGAGCAACTCCTGTAACTGTAATAGCGACTCCCTCCGCTGTCTCCACGTCTTCACACTTAGGCTGTAGTGTCATAATCTCTAGTGTAATTCTGGGGGGAAAAATATCCAAAGTTAAACACAACCTTCAAGTATAACTACACAATGCCTAAGACAAGAAAAACCTGATTTTCCAAAGCTTGTTAGCGTCGCAGAATTCAAAAAATGGGGACAAGAGTGCCAAAGACAACAGCAGTGGCTCACAGGAAGTTCAGAATGCAATCAGAGAGATGTTCACGGGAAAGCATGAAGCAAACGCTCGATAGAAAAGCATCAGATCAGCTCATAAATCAACTAATTCAGCTGATCATGGAAATTTAAGAAGCCAACAGAAATAGTACCACATCAATATCCAAACGACAGATGTATATGATTAAAGTATCTCTTAAAGCAATCTCTGAAGGCCTCTATACAGCCAAACTGGTTTGACAAACACACCTGACCAGGCGTGCCTTTTAGTTTTCTAAGGTCAGGCATTATAGTCACAGCTAAACATTGACTGTGTGTTGTTATTATAGTGAACTTTGACTACATTTACTGCACTGAGCAGTGAAATGTGATCCTCATTTATTTGACTGGCATTACCTCTGTGTGTCTGATATAAGCCACCATGCCCACGCCCAGCCTCCCACCACATACGTCTTTGCATCTGACCCACAACAGGCACCTAGGAGAGAAAAAACACTTGTGATTGCAGTGATAATCTCAAAAGAAAAGGACAGGATCTGTGTGAACTGAGTTCAATGGTGATTCATACTTTGAATGAGCTAGAAGATGCTATGATAGATGCCCTTACAAAAAAAGTCATACCATGGTACCATCAGTGTTATTTTAGCATCATTGAGATACTATTATAGATTTTGAATTATTTTTAATTTTTATCATTCAATTTTAAAGTTTTTAGTAATTTTGTTGTGTTGTTTCATTTTATTTTTTATTTTTTCAAAATATCTATAGTTTTAATTAAATAATTACTTTTTATTTCAGTTTAAGTATTAGTTATCTTGGTACCATTTTTATATCAAATTAAACTAAATGGGGGGAAAAAAAAGAATTTTTGCCTTGGCAACTAGGTAAAATAAAAATGAACTTTAAGTTTATTTTAATTCAAGTTTTTTTTTTATACGTTTTATTTATTTATTTTTTTTACTGTGTTCCAGGGAGTGCTAGAAGGTCTGTGGAAATTTTTAGACAAAAACAGCATAAAAATGTAATAAAATAATATTAAAGGAACTAAATGAATAAATAATTTGGATGAAATATTTATCATCTTTTTTCACAATATAAATTTGGTCTTTATACATGAAAATATGAAGCTGGCTTTTAAATTTTAAGATGGGGGTCCCTCGTACCAAGATGATCATATCTGGGGGTCTGTGGCGTATAAAATATTACAAACCCCTGTACTATGGTATTTACATGGTACCACATGGTAATAAACTTTTACTAGACCATAGTACTAAAGACAAAAAATATGTGCATACAAAATTGTACTATGGTAATACCTTGATTTTGGATATATACTATGGTACTATAGCATTCTTGGAGATACCCTGGAGTACCATGTAAATACAATGGTATTATTATCTGATATCATCACTATAGCAAAAAACAGTAAAAGCACTTTTTGTAAGGGTGCTATTGCTATGGTAAATGCTAAAAAAACATAGTATTTTACGTTGCCATTTCGCAAAACAGCTTCTTTTTTTTTTTGAAGAAATCTGCATAAATTCAGCACAATGTAGCCACAACTTATCACTGTTAAGCATCAAAGTGGCCGTTTCGAGAATATAAATCATAGTTATGATTATAATAATCATAGTTAATTCATAATTAGTTATGAATTACTGTAAAGAGATATTAAATATTAAATCACGGTTAAAGCGTAACGGGATGCAGGGGAAATTAATAGCAAAAATTGAGTAGTTTCATAATTGAATACTTTTACGCTCGAATTTATCATATGTTTCGGAAATATGATAAGTTAAAAACGACTAAAATAGTTTAAAACAGTCGGATGAGCTGAGCTAACAGCAGCTGTAGCTAGCTAAAACACGACTGGATGATATTATTTACCACATAATTCATAGTAACTTACTTGCGAAAACAAACATTGATATGCACACTTCATTAAAGAATGACTGCAATAATTGCATACAAATAATAAACTCTCGATATAATAAGCTGTAGTAAAACACATCACGATACCTGACACAACGAGCGCTTCATTTGGTCCAACAGTCAGGCAGCAACCCATACTTGCATTTAATACCAAACAATAATCCTTTCGTATGTATTGCTATCTATTACATAAAGCGTTTATTTAGCAGATTTTTGACTCGTAAAATGAACAAATCTCCGCCCTAGTGAGAGAATAAATGTGTGTCAACACAGGCGACACTACCCACCACAGGAAGGAAGGGTGGTGCGTGATAATGTATGGCTGTGTTTGCCAAACCTAGCGAGCTCCCTACCTAAACAGCACCTTTGAGCATTCGAACGCGCCAGTGATGGCCCAAAAATGCTGTCTAGGTAGGCAGCTCACTAGGTTTTGAGACACAGACTCTGTGTTGTCATGATTACTGTAAATGCTGACTGTATTCATGTCTGCACATTACGTGCTTTTATTGATGAGCTGCATGGATATAATCTACGTGTTGTAGCCTACATGTGATATTATGTTTTATTAGCTTTTAAATGTTTATTCCATTATATTCTGTCGCCATTTATTTTTTAATTTTAGTGGAATCAGCGGTAGATTTTATGCATTTATACATTTTATAATTGATAAAGAAACACTTAATTTTGTGGTACTATGGTGCACTGATGGTATCAGATGGTAAAAAAGACCATTATACTTATTTTGATATATACATGATATACCATGACAATGACGATGAGAAAGGCTGTTTTTTTTATTGTGACATAAAAACAGAAATAGAAATGACATATTGGTTTGATTTATTTAAAAAAAATTGTATTACAGTAATTTTTAATGCAATAGAGACAAATATTGAGTCAGGACACATGAAAATATTAAGGGTCTTAAAAATATAAATTGTGATATAAAAACAGAAATACAAATGACACATTGGTCCGATTTATTTAAAATATATATTTGAATTACAGTCATTTTTAATGCAATAGGGCCAAATATTGAGTCAGGGCACATAAAAATATTAAGGGTCTTAAAAATAGGCTTTTTTTAAAAAAAATTTTAAACAAATATTTAGGTTTATTTATTTATTTATTCATTTATTTTTGCATTGTGACATAAAATCATAACAAAAATACTTGTATTACAGCATATTTGAATGCAATTATAACAAAAATGCAAAAAAAAAACTTAAGGGTCGTAAAATTAGGTCTCGTAATATAATATAATATAATATAATAATCAGAGTAAAAATGTGACCTAGTGTAATTCCCATTCAGTAGGTGGCGCGTAGTGCCCAAATGAACTTCGCGTTTCGCCGACCTCAGCGAGGAAGACATGTGGGAAAAGCTTACTGCTCATGCGCGGCTATAGGCTGCAGCAGTGGGCACTGGGCAGCAGCAGTGACTAGACAAGCGCTTTATCCGACACAAGCAGAGCACAGGTGCCGAACAACCTAGCAAAATGCTCTTTTAAATAATCGCACGTCTCATCCCGAAACCAGAGAGTAAGTTTCGCTTTCGACACCTCCCACCTGATCATTTTAATGCGGTTTTAAGAAGCTGTGAGATGAAAGCCGGTCAGTGGCTCGCACAAAGAAGACACAGGCTATATGCTAGGGGTTGTAGCAAGTGTAGAGGCAGAGGTACCAAGACAGGATCAGATCTCACTCTGATCACCGCTTAGATTGGTTGGTAGTTTGCTAGGCGTTAAATGGGCACGACAAACCTTCAGCCAACCGGATACATCTTATCTACAAGGGCAGATGTGTGCTACAGTGACCCTAAATTGTGTAAGTGTGTCTGTGTTGATCTGGGATAATTGTAATGCATGTAGCTTGTGGCTAAGCAAAGTTTGGTGGCTAGAAGGTTTATTATAGGGTGGATGAAATGGCAACCACAAATTGTACTTTAAACTCTGTGCTTTGGTTTTATGCTTGGCTAATTGTGTTTATGATATTTCACAATGTAACTCAGCTCTTCCAAAGCTCCTGTTGTTTTTAATTACGACTGTAAATGTGTGTCAGCTTAAAAGTTAGCCAAGAATATTGCTTGGCTGCACAGTATTTGCTTGTAAGAGCTCTGAACTGTGAGTTCGTTTAGATATTGAATTGATTATTTTTTTTTTGTAGAGCACCACCTAAATAAACAACTCCCCTCATCCAGTGGTCCGTTTTGGGGATGATATAAGAGGACATGCATGGGTCATCTCTGATTCTAAACAAATCCAGGATGTTTTGGGCATTGTGAGACTCAGCTTTAGCTGATAACACCTCCTTCAGTGTAAAAATTAAAGCAGCTCCCTGATGAAAATAGCTGGGGGTTGGGAGCTCAGAACATGTCAGGCTATGTCTTAACTGCACTTTTTGACACCTGCACATCTCAGATTGGAGGGCTGGGAGCAAGAGGCCTGTGGTCGTGTTGCTGCATCTCCTGCCGTGCCCCTGGGCACCTGCCAGGCAGACGGGAGAATGCGTTTGCATCGCACTCCTGACACTCAAACTGCAGGGTGTGCACCGTGGGCCCTGACACCAGCTGTTTCAGAGAGCTATTTTAAAAGGTCATGCTTGAATGCATGATATTTAAATAAATGGCTACAATGAGGCAGTTACAGAGATCTATAGCTACAGCGTTTGATGGATGTTCAGGTGAATTAGCAAGGGTAGGGCCTTTGTACACTTCTGTGCTTGCCGTTTTCTTGCGGCCAGCTGTAAATCATGTCATTTGTTGACTAGCATGCTCTACCCAATATTACTTACTTAGCTTGTTGGGATATTCACTGTGTGCTGATTTTCAGTCTGCAGGTCTTTTAATCTAAGACGTTTTGATTATCGCTTCTGCTGCTTTGTTGCAGCAAACCGCCACTAATTAAACTAGAAATTTCCTCGTAATAATTTATTACTCCCATTAAGTCCCATTGCACAGTGTGTTCCATTAAACCTACATCTACACGTAAAATTGGATCTCTTTAATGACGCCCTCGGAGGAGAAAATAGCCAATGTTTCTTTTTTTACACCATGTATTTTAAGAGACGAATGATGTGAATCCGTTTTTGTTCCTGACGTGACTGTTTCCTTTGCAGTGTGATGAAGAGTGAGAGTCCAATGTTGCATTAGTCTCATTGTGACATGCTGGCCTGTCTGCCGGTATCAAACCCCTCTCTCCAGCTTATCTCGCACACGCAGATGAACACTGGACTCCAGAAATGTAAGCAGCCGTTAACCAAAATTAGCTTTGTTCTGATTAGTCTGCATGTACGTTTGACCTAGTTTATCCCTTTGGTAGTGAAACTGATGCTGTGCCTCTTGACCCTGCTCTGTCAGAGCCCTGATAAGCAGTTGCTATCATATGAGCTCCACATTTCTTGCATTACCCTTCACGTTTGGCCTTCTCTTGCTCACAGGGGACACTACACAGAGGATGAGATCAGCACACTATCCTACCCCAGCAGAATTGGATGCCTATGCTAAGAAAGTTGCCAATAACCCACTGACTATAAAAATCTTCCCCAATAGTGTGAAAGTACCTCAGAGGAAGCATATTCGCCGCACCGTCAACGGTCTCGACACCTCCAGCCAGCGCTACAGCCCCTACCCACCTCAGGTCAACACCCGGACGGGCCTCTTGGCCATCGTCAAAGTCCCTGTCAAAGGGATCCTCAAGGACATCGAAGGCGGCCGAGCCCGTTTTCTCCCTAAGCTCATCATGAACCCGCACAGTGGGCTTTACGCCAATCCCAGCACTTTAAATGTTCCTCACACTGTTCCACACCTTCAGACTCCTTTAGGCCAGAAGAGTCTCGCTCATTCTCAGGCCTTGCAGGCCCATACGCAGTCCCTGCAGCAGAAAAGCAGTTTACAACCACAGCAGAGTCTGGCCCACCAGGAGGCTTTGCATCAGAGCCAGGCTCACCAACCGCCAGTACCACACCACGCCCTAAACCACCAACAGACTCTCATGCAGCAGCAGCCACAATTGCCTGGTCCGCAAGGACTCCGGCATCTGCCCGATATGGCGCAGTCTGTGAACCTGCAGCACTCCCAGGGCTTCTCTCAATCCCAGCCCATGCCACAGGCTTCTTGCGCCGGCCCTCCGGCCCCCGGAGTCTTACAGCCCCCCCTGGCAGGCTTACAGATGCCACGCAAGCTGCCCGATGCCGACGCCCCTCCCAATGTGACTGTGTCTACCTCAACCATCCCGCTGTCCATGGCTGCCAGCTTACACCAGAACCGGCCCAGTGACCTGAGCAGCATCGTCAATCAGATCAACCAGTTCTGCCAGGCTCGGGCTGGTATGGGCTCTACCTCCATGTGCAAAGGACAGATTGCCAACCCCAGTCCCATCAGCCGCAACCAACTCATCAATGCGAGCTCTCGGGTGTGCACCCATCCCAGTGTGGGTCCTCCGCCTTCTTGTGTCCTTGGTAACTCTGACAAAGGTGGTCCTGCTCCCACTCTGCCACTGCCTGACATCGCTGCCATGAACAGGATGCCTCTTTACCACAGTGAGATGAAGCAGCAGCAATCCCAGCCACAGTTGCCCCAGCAACAACGACAGCAGAGCCCTTGGGGGCAACACCATTTTGCACACCTTCAGCACCTTCCTGAGGGAGCGGCTCACCAGGGCAAGAATCTCCCCAGAGACGGTCTAGTTGGACCAGGGTTCCTCACTAAGAATATGGGCTACCCGCAGGAGGTGTGCATGGCGCATCCCTTCAACTTGAAGTCCTCTACTGATAAACTAACTCCATCTCCTCCGGTCAACGGGATGCCCATGAGTTACAGTAACAGCCACTACATGCAGCCACCCTGGAACAACATCCTGCCCACGCCAAACAGTGACAGCTCAGGGTCTCAAGACCTGGTGGGCCCGTTCCACGGGGGCCTCTCAGGGGCCTCCATAGACTGCACCCCCGGAGCACAGTATAGGACCGGGGCAGCCATTTCCAGCCAGACAAACCTGATGCAGACCATGGAGTATATGGGTGGCGACTTCCAGGCGCCCTGCTTCCGAGCACAGAATCCGGGCACAATGGCAAAGATGCATAGAGCCTCAGTCAGCAGGGCCACAGATTCAGGTGATAGTAGAAATGTGCACATCCACCACCCAGGGTACAGATGAGCTGCGGCCAGTTGACGCTAGTCAGTGTTAGTCTGAGCGCAAGGAAAAAATTCCCCCCTCTTCCCGTTTTGTTCTCAGTCTTGCAAGTGATCTACTGAATGTTTCCTGTACAATGATTTACGTGGGTACCACAAAGCTGAACCCCCATGTGCCACTTGGATTTTTTAAAATAATTTTAGTAGTTTAGATTTCTTAAGTAGCTTTTGGAAAACACTGTAGCCATTTATTTATTTTAGTTTATTTTAATTATTTTTTCTTTCTAGAAAACAGCCATAACAGCTTCAGTTTATGAGATCAGCACTGTTTTTTCCATTCCTATCTGCTCTGTATTATGTAAATGAAAAATGTACCACACAACACGCATATATTCACTTTATCTTTTTGATTAGCAAATGTCCGTTATTTAAAAAGCTGAGAAGAAATTCTCAGCAAATGCCATCTGTATGTAGTTTAGGCCTATTTGAGATTTGAAGTACTAACACAATGAAGACATTTAAGGGGTGCCATGATACTGAAATATTTGGCTGTTCCATCTAAACTAACAGCTTGTACAATGTATAGAGGTTGATTTTATTTTTGTTCCTCTCAATGTTTACATATTGTGCTTTTTGTAACTAATTCTGAATTGATAAGTGCAAACTGATACTGGGATATGCACATATGACAAGACGGGTCTGTTCGACAGGAAATAACCTAAACAAAAGACGCATTTGAAGTTGAGTTGTTCTGTGAATTCGATTATTGATCCATCGCATGCTCCACGGTTTAACTCCCATGGAGAGTTTCTCTCTTTCTCAGGTCTACCTGTGCCTCTTCTCACATTCTCCCTTGACTTTTATGTCGAATGAGTCTCTCCACCTTTATCAGGGCAGACCATCTGGCAGTGGAGTATGGGTAATGTCAGTCTTTGGTGGAGCAACTGCAGATGAGCAGATGGTGGAGCCGTGACACCTAGTATCATAACCTCCCTGTTTGCCTCTCAGAAGCCTTAAATATTTGATCCTTGAACTGTCCTTGACAATAGGCATGGTGTAGAATATAAATGAATGATATTTAGCTAAATCTGTTTTTGTGAAACCATAAATTTGGGGAGCGAACTCCCGAAAGGAAGAGGTTTTTTTTTCTTTTTTGTATTTAGCAATGTATGTACTGGGCTGCAACAGTTGTTGCATTCACACCACGTCATGTTATGTTTCCCACACTAGCATCTTTATTTGCTCTGTTTACCATTGCAGAAAAACCTGTTCCAGTCATTTCCTGTAATGGGCGAACGCAAGCGTTGGAAATGCAAGCTTGACTAAAAGGTTTGCATCCAGGCTGATGTTTTTCAATAACAGCAGGTCTAGTTTAAGCTTTGACGGTAGGATTCGTTGCCCATGAAGCTGCTATTTTATTGCGACTACAAAAAAAGTTATTTCTTAGAAATGTTGTGATAGAGTTAAGATCTAATTTATATTATGCCTTTTTTTTGCAATTCAAAATTGTTAATAAGTTGAGTGTCGGTTGACGTAATAAGTTATTCCATTGGCCTGTCAACCATGTCATTGTAAAGCTTGGACTTTTTGTATTTCTTTCGATCCTCTTTTCATGCTTTGTTACAGCTCAAGAGTACAAAGTCAGGTTACTCTTTTAATAGTTACTATCTCTACGTGAAGTGCCTCCTCTGGGCTGATGTGGACCGTGTGTATGTGACCGTTGGGATGGACAATGGACCAGCGCTAGTGCACATTCCGTAGAAGTCATGCACTGCTCACAAACGGGAGACCGAGCTACTTTAAATACTACTGATATCATTCATTAAAAAAAAAAAAAAACACCGCCGTGTGCTGCTGCAGGTGCAAGATCTGTTCGGATGTGAATAGTTGCTGCTGAATCACTAGTTTAGGTGCGAGAGCTACGCTGCTGAACTCCCTAGTGTCCTTGAAACATTCGAAGGAATGCTCTGGAAAGTTCTTTGTCTTTTGGAGCACATGCACTCCTGCCCCCATTACCCCCCTCCCTTCCTGCCCCTCTTCCCAAAACAACACAATGGCAGTTTTGGACTACAGGAGTGTGTGTTAAGAGTTGAGTGTGTCTCATCTTGTTCCACCAAAGAACAAAATGTCACTTGAATGGTAGCAGTGCGCACCTGTTTTGTGTAACCGAAAACTGTCATTCCAGATACACATTTTTTCAGGAACGTGTTGCACAAACATTCCCCTCTAACCAAAATAAAGTTTGAATTGCATTTGCAAAGTGTGTCGTGTCTGTCTTTGTCTTCTTGTACAGTTGAACATTTCATTGATTCTTGAGTACTGGAATAAAAGGTTACGAAAGTTTTATTTAGCAAGTAATTATTTTGGATTAATATCACAAATGTGTTAAGACATTCACCTCTATTTGAAAGCAATCTCCTTTCGTTTTTACATTTCTTAAAATGTGTTTTGCTTACTAATCAGTACAGGTAAATAATGTCAATTATTATAGTAAAAAAATATTATCTCCAATGGGACAACAGGACTTAGGACTGATTTTCAGGTCAGTCTATTGAATTTTCAGTATGTTGAGTCAGAAAATCTAAAAACAAAATAAGCTTATAAGTCATGTATTCGAAGTAGTAGCCATTTTGTTTTGCTGGTGTTTCTACCTTCTTAAAATGAGGGAAATTGAATTATATTTAGCTTCGTAAAATTATTCTATACTATACTCACCAGAGCCTGTGTAACTACTAGCTTGGAAAGAGAGGCTTGAGAATCAGGAGGAACTTAAATCATACGAGATTTTCTAAATGTTTTCATAAATGCTTGACAAGTAAGTTCTGGTCGTGGCGTTAGTCCAGCATCAGCGCTGGGTCTTTTCCCTGTTTGTATCACTGCGCAGTCTAAGTTTGTGGTACAGACATATTGTTAGTGTCGGTGAATTAATATTTTTAGTGACTCTTTCTGCAGTTAACATCGACATGCTTAGTAAGTAGCAACAAGTGACTTTCTGAATAAATCAACGATTCAATTTAGTTCTACTATTGAGGCAAACGCCTGTGTTGAATTAATTCTTCACTTAAACGATTCTTTCAAAATAATTGTGTTTCTCAAAGATGCGCAGCGGTTAATTTGGTTAATTCGTTTGGAACTATGTTCTTTGGCGGAGCAATAATAGACAAAGTAACTGACAAAATTTATTCTAACATGTTTTATTCAGTAAAAGCAATATCACGCGCAGCTGTGCTTTTGGTGTGAATGGCAACAAGGCTGTGATTACCAGCAACACAGATATATAAGAGACCTATATAAGGCTATATTTAATCTATAGGCTATGGATTATTGAGGAATGGTGGTTTTAGGGTTGGTGAGGAATAGCCTAATGTCATGCCATAATTTTGACAGAATAACGAGAAAATTATACAAAATTATGTATTTGAATTAAGAATATTATATAAAATAAATGGTTTCAAACACTAATGGCAGATAAAATGGTTGTCCCATATCTCAATCAGTGATTTCCCTTTTCTCCAATTGTCAGATGAGGATCAATTGCATCTGCATATCTAAACACTGACTCAATCTAACATTAATTTCCAGTGGTGTTGTTAAACCTGTGTAAGTGCAGCTACCTCAGTGTGTTATTTAGTGTTCTTGGGGGCTCAATAACAATCTTGTCAAAGGGGTTTAGAAGTGTCTACTGAGAAAGAAAAAAACACTTTATTTTTACATGGATTACCACCCACAGGATCTTGACAGATTTGGCACTTGCGTCGGAGCTCAGCTAACCTCAGGGCATTTATGTGACACAGCTCTAATTGGCTTTGTACAAAACTGTGCCATGATGCCATCTTCAAAGAATACAGGAGTTAACTGAGGATACTCAAAAATCTTTTGCCAAACTCTACAGCATGGATGGGCAGCTGGTGGATTTGGGGCCACTAAAGCTTTCTGATAGGTTCTGATAATGAAATATAATATAATATAGGCCTACACTCTATTGTTGTACAATTAACAGAGAACATGAATGAAATGGGCCATTAAATGTGTAATTAGTGAGGAGATGTGACAAATTGAGAGTGAATAGATGGATGCTTGAGAATGGGCTGCACAAATGCTTCATGTTTTATCAGGATCTCAAATTTAGTCTCTTTGTAAATGTACACTGTTTTATCATGGACTGTAGTGCTGTCACGGGACGTGGTTGTAGTAAATCGCACGATGAGGGAGTAAACGTAAATAGTCTTTTAATTATAACTTCCAAAACAAAGGACAGGAGAATTCAGCATCAACACACGTGTTCCATTAAAACAACATCAATCCGACACAAACAAACTCAGGAGAACACAGGGCTTAAATGGAGAGGAGACAAAAGGGATAATGAAACATAACAGGTGAACAGAATGAACGATCAGAATCAGAATCAGAATGAGCTTTATTGCCAGGTATGTTTACACATACGAGGAATTTGTTTTCGTGACAGAAGCTTCCACAGTGTAACAGAATGACAGTGACAGAACAAAAAACACAGATAATAAAAAGATTGCAGGGATATAACTAAAGACAGGACAAACTAACAAAAACATAAAAACAACTGCGGAGCACGCCACGGAGGCAGCCATCAGCGTCGGCGCCATATATATCGATGATTAACTAATAACGAGAACAGGAACTAAACCAAATAAGGGCAAAGAGGAACTAAACGGGAACATACATGTGACAAGTGCAGATATAAACACCCCGGGAAATATTTTAAATTAATCATTTTAAGCTCATTTTAATCACATGTTCTAAGCTGTTTTGAGTTGTGTGTTACTATGACCTCTTCTGGTAATTTTGTGTCGCTACAACTAACTCATACTTTCAATGTTTTTACGCAAGACATTTTAAGCATAAATTATATATATATATATATATATATATATAGTGAAAAACAAGACATTTACAAATTCCAGCTGTTATATGCTTTAAATGCACAGGTCCTTAAGACAACAAGTCCAACACAAACATCAATCTGAATATGAGATTGTATTTATATACAATATTATACAAATAACATTTACTAACCTTCAGCTTATAATGCCTCAGAGTAAAAATGAAGTACAGTGAGATTTTTTTCAATAAGTTTTTATAAGCCGATTTCTTCATTACTATTAGCCTATTGTAAATTTCATAAACTGAATTTTCTCTTCACACCCTTTGGCATCGTTTTTAATGGAATTTCTTTGTCATTCCTAAAGGAGATATAAAAAAGATATGTGATTAATGCTTGAAGTTTCATTTGTCAGTATGTAATGACATGTGACATGTGAAAGAATCATAGATAATGCATTACCTGAATTATATTTATTCTTAAAGGGTTAGTTCACCCAAAAATGAAAATTAGCCCATAAATTACTCACCCTCAAGTCATCCTAGGTGTATATGACTTTCTTCTTTCAGACGAATCCAGTCGGAGTTATATTAAAAATTGTCTTTGATATTTTAAGATGTTTCATGCAACTCAGCGGGTGTTGCATATGTCAGTCCAAAAACACTTAATTAAAATGTGCCCATCCATAAAAAAATGTGTCTCACACGGCTCCAGGGGGTGAACAAAGGTCTTCTGTAGCGAATCGATGCGTTTTTGTAAGAAAAATATCCATATTCAAAACGTAATAATCACTTGAATGTAGCTTGCGCTCACTGTTGTACACTGGAAGCAGTTCGGGGGGAATGACGTATGGAGGTCGGCTTTGCGCATGTGCCGCTCAGAAGTGACGCACGCGGAAGTGCAGCGGAGAGATCAAAACAAAACAACGGTCACTAATTAGAAGTACAAATCGAGGATTTGTAAAGAAGAAAGTCGGAGGATTTCAATATAAGCCAAGAGAAGACTGGTTTTCCTTTGCTAAAGTAAGGAAACTTTGCTTCCTTTGCTCCTATAAACAAACTCGCGAGACTAGCATACCTCAGAGGCGAGACTCACCGGCGCATGCGCAGCACTGACCTCATACGTCATGCTCCCGGAACTGCTTCCAGTGTACAACAGTGAACGCAAGCTAGATTCAAGTGATTATTACGTTTTGAATATGGATATTTTTCTTACAAAAACGCATCGATTCGCTACATAAGGCCATTCTGTATATTATGTGTATTTGTAATGTGTATCTTTGTTCTCATTTTTTAATAACAAAGATAAAATAATGACAAAGATTTTTATCTCCACCCACTTTGGCCTAAATATCCGCCATACTTTTAAAAAAATATTTTGTACCTTGAAAGGCTTTGTCTTTATAATAGGGAAATTAGTTTGGCTGTAATGCTCGTAACGCCATTTTGCCCCTGCCCCTCCAGAGGTCTGTGCACGCCACTGCTGAAATGGATGATGTATGCATCTGAATATTTATATACTTACAGCAGCCATTAAAGTCAGAGCAGAGGCTATGCTGATAATTGTAGGAATAATACTAAATTTTCTTGCCTGGAAAAGATTCATATATACATATATTAAAAGCATGTATTATATCACTTGTGCTCTGATGTCTTTAGCATTTGAGTCACATACCGTTCCAAACACCATGATGTAAATGAATTCCATACACTCTGTAAAGTGTTTTTTTCGCTTCTGTCCTGCAGCATCAGTGGAATAGTGAGCAAATCTGAGAAGACAATTATTGGCAGTATTGAGCATAACAACATTCCGTGTCAAATTAACCACATTTTGGAAACTTCCCCAGCTCAAATGTTTGATTTTGTTAATGTTTTTGGTAACACTTTATTTTAAGGTGTCCTTTTTACACGTTACATGTACTTACTATTGTAATAAAAATTAATTATGCATTATTACATGCAAGTAACCCTAAGCCAAACCCTAATCCTAACCATATAATAAGTACATGTAGTTAATTAATATTACTCAGTACTTAAATATATAATTACACTGTAACAAGGACACCTTAAAATAAAGTGTAACCATATTTTTTTTTCGAAGAAAGACTAACATAAATAGTGATGAAAGATATCTTGGTAACACTTTACAATAAAGTTCATTAGTTAACATGAACTAAGCATGAACAATACTTCTACAGCATTTATTAATCTTAGTTAATGTTAATTTCAACATTTACTCGTGCATTCTTAAAATCAAAAGTTGTGCTTGTTAACATTAGTTAATGCACTGTGAATTAATATGAACTAACAATGAACGAACGGTCACCATTGGCATACAGTGCAATATGGATTGAAGTGAACAAATTTTACTAATAGACCTACCGGAAAAAAAATCACGCAACTTGGCTCCAAATCTCAGGTGAAAATAATAATTTTGACCCCCTTCTACAAAACAGTGGATTACTCAATCAATATTAATCCATGGCATTTCATATTTTGGGTTTCTTCTTCATTTCTGCATTTCTTTCACCAGAGAAAAAAAAGATCAGAATCAAATGGGACCTCCGGTTTAGTTGACACGAAATGACTCAAGCCAAAGCTTTCAAAAAACAAGGACTTTGAATGATTTTGACTAGCATAAGAGTGGTGTGAATGTACCTGAAGTTGTATGCAACTATTTCTGATGAGTTGCCCAGACGTACAAAGCTGTAGTGAGGACGACAATTTGAGTCTTCTTTATCAAGGTCACAGGGCCACTCAATCAGTATTGTACCACCCTGCCATTGTAAATGAAAAGATTAGATTCAGCATAATAAGCACAAAATGTCTATTAAATTAAATGTTGCAATTCTGTCACACATTAAAACCACATTAACTATTCTAGAGCCATTTCTTCAAACTTATGTCCAGTTTTGTTCACAATAGCTCCCAGTTGAAATATAGAACAGTACGGGTAAGCAATTTCATCATACAAGCAGCTTTTTAAATGTAATTTTCTGTTTTCCATTTGATCTGAGAAGAAAAACAACATTTGAGATAATTGAGTGGTAATACAGGAAATAATTGTATATAGTAAAGTTTTGTGTGCTTTTTATTGATGTAAAAGCAGACAGGGTTTGTACTCATTACCCATGGATGCATCAGACGTCGACTGTAAAAGTTTTAATAAATGGTGAAGGGAAAATTTTTGTCTTACCTCTGGACAGTTGCCTAATGTTTGGTTTGTTGTCTCGATGAAATTGGTTATTAAAGTAAGAAAATTCTCACCCTGGAAACAGAATTTAATTATTACTGAAGCAAATTAATGATAAAGCAAATCATTACTTATATGTTTGACACAGAACTGATTGTTTTATCTATTGTATATAGCAATATTAAATATGAAATATATAATATATGTAAACAATATGTAATAATCTATAAATAATATGTCAGTTATAATATATGTGTTCAAAATGCTCAGTTGTGGCTTCAGACTATTTTAAAATAAAAGTCTGGATTTTTTTTAAAACAGTAGTTGCACTGTTTTAAAAAAAAACCCAGACTTTTATTTTAAAATAGTCCACTCTTATTTTAGCAGAAGTACAAGCGCATTTCTTCACACTTCACACTTGTTATCTTACAGTCAGCTGATTTCATACAAAGATCAGTCTGCTTTCTGCAGCTAGAGTTGGACTTTGCCATTGAACAACTGATTCCCAGTAAACACTAAATAATAAATAAATCATGACTAAATACGAGGACGTTGCTATTCATGGCTACGAGGAATTTTGTAAAGCTGTGTCTGAAAGAAAAGGAAAAGAGATTTTCGCTTACTTCTCTGGAGATAAAGATGACCAGGGCAAGAGCTGGTGTCCGGACTGTGTGAAAGGTACATTAACATTATACAGTAGCTGCTGTTTCACAAAAGGCACATTGATTTTTATTTATTTATTTGTGTTTCGCTCATGCAGCAGAGCCAGTGGTTAGAGGAGAGCTGTCTCATCTGCCGGAGGGATCTGTCTTCATTTACTGCCAAGTAGGAGATAGACCTTAGTAGGTTTACAAGACATTCTTCCAATTATAGATTGGCTATATAAATAATTTCATAATATATAACATAAATATTTCATGTATGTTGCTGCATTTAGTATACAAGATAGTGCTTATGTTTCGTTTTGGCCTAGATTAAAGGGGTCATATGATGCGATTTCAATTTTTCCTTTCTCTTTGGAGTGTTACAAGCTCTTGGTGCATAAAGAAGATCTGTAAAGTTGCAAAGACTAAAGTCTCAAATCCAAAGAGATATTCTTTATAAAAGTTAAGAGTCAGCCACGCCTACCTAAAACGGCTTGTGGTTGCCGCTCCTTTGTCGAATCCGCCGGCCGCGCCGTTCTCAATCCCACCGGCCTCTGCTTACTCTAGCCCTCCAGCCGTTCCTCACTCTAGCCCCCAGCCTCTGCTCACTCTAGGCCGCATGTTTACGCAGCGCCATCGCGTAAAAAGACAGTAGTCATTATAATCCGTAATTATGTCCCCACTGGATGCAACAAATGCCTCATTTATAATGGGTTTTATTGGTTTTGAATCGACGCTCCGGCCTGACAGGGCATCACATTATGGTAAGGGGCGTAACATTTCCGTCAGTTCACTGAAAAATTAAAATTAGTTGAAAATGTACTTAACCTCCTTAGGCCATCCAAGATGTATTTGAGTTTGTTTCTTCATCAGAACAGGATTGGAAAAATTTAGCATTGCGTCACTTGCTCACCAGTGGATCCTCTGCAGTGAATGGGTGCCGTCAGAATGAGAGTCCAAACAGCTGATAAAAACATCACAATAAATC